GTAAGTACAATCCTCACAAACAGTCGCTCTCCAAGCCTACTTGACTATAAGATACATCTTCCACAAGATAGCATATGCTTAGATAACACTATTTCAAGCAACTCAGATATATATACCACAAGATATTTAAATGCCTAAGCACAACATATGGGAAACTATATAGTGCTCACAGAGCAAAGAGCTACTGTACAACCCAATGTGCTGTGTTATAGTCAGACTCATGTGGGTAATATATTGCCATAATTCTGCTTCAATTAAAAGCGTATTTCAGCAGAAGCCCAGGATGTCGGGTATATGTATTTCAATAATGCCAGCTTACAAATCTGCTTATGTTAAATGTACATTACTCAGATGGGTTCAGAATTATGCTTTACATAAATAAAGACTGAGCATATTAAGACAAAATCTCGCATAGTCGAAGCATATATTAATGGAACAATGCCAGAAACTGCTGGCAGTTCCATACATTGTGCATAAAAAAAAATCAGCAAATCAGTATAAGATTTCACTAATACTTTCACTCGAAACTGTTTCTCATTCTTGTCCTTCCAACAGTGGAACGAAGTAAGCACCGAGCAAAAGACCCCGTGTCTTATAAACTTCACTCTACATAGTATATACAGAAGAGGTAACTTAGGAATTATGAAGGCCATGTTTTACCTTACATTTGGAAATGACACCATCAGAAACACAGAACTATGCCTAGGCAGTCTTAAATTAGTACCGCACCTGATGCTCCCTCCACTCTGTATGTCCATGTAAAGGGCACTGAATTTTTAGAACAAATACCAACCACAATATCAGTAGCCCTTACTATGTGCACTGCAATGAATGGTACCTACAGGTATAAATATGGCTTCTGTAATTCCAAGGTCCCAAGCTAAGACAGTTACACATTGAGCATGATTAACATAGTCTGGTAAAGTTGCCTGGAGTAATGTGATACTTAGGAAAAAAGATGTCATTACAACTCACCTTCAAACAATATCGATTGTTTAAGTCCTTTAGTTGGAAAACTGTGTTACAGTAGCCCTACCAAACTAATGGTCAATATTTTCTGACTTATTTTCTTATGATATCAACATCATTTAGTTAATACCATGAAGCTAGAGATGTCTAAAAGGATATTCAAGTACTAATGCCAGCTCAAGGTACCTCCAACAGGGATGCTTTAGAGAAACTGTATATTGGCTGGTAGCCTCACTACAGACAAGACTGAAAGATATCAACAAAAAAAATTAGGACACTTGATGCTGGTCACCAAAGGACTGCTACTTCTTACGTATATCTTACATAGTTTTCTATTTTCAAAATTATTACCTGTGATGACAAGCTAAAATTCTCACACTATTAAATGTGGTTCTTAAGTCATGTAGTTACTACGAACAATCTCATCACAAGAGGATGAAGAAGAGCCAACACGTCTGAAGGTTCTAAACTGGGCACCAACAGCTGTAAGCCTAGTGTGCACAATGTATTACACAAGCAACAACTAAGATGCTCTACTAAGTCATATGCTCCAAAATCAAACCTCAGTGTAAAAATGCCCAGATAAGTCATGGAAGGCAAGAAATGGGCTGGCCAGAAAGCCCTTCTGTTCTCTCAGTCAATCAACAGAGTTCAGTGGGAAACCCAGTCACCTCAGAAAAACCGAGAAAACTGAAATAAGTTGCAAAAGCATATAAAAAACTTAGGCAATATTCTAACTACAGTTCAGAAAAATTAGGCTCCATGTTTCAATGAAGTAACTATCTGTGAAGATAAAAATCCAAATATGACTAGAAATGCAGATCAGGCAAAATATTTGGCATACAATCATACTGAGAGCACAGAGAGTCACAATGTGATTGATAAGAAAATTGTCTGATGCCAGTATCAAGACTAATCCCATATTAAAGTAAATTGATAGGATTTTTAATGCAAGTATTATAAAAATGTTTTCAACAAAATTGTACATCTTCTTGAGACATATATAAGTAATTCTCAGCTAAGAAAAAGAGGTTACAAAAGAGAAAATAAAAATTACAGAACTGAAAAATACAATAAAAGATTTACAGACTTACAGACTGGGCTCAGTAGCTGGGGAAAGAACAGAAGGACATCTGGCTGTCATGAAGAAAGAAAGAGATCTTGAGGGACAGGAGCAAAATCCAGAGGAATATCAGAATAAGAAAAGAAAGATGGGAGAATTTAAAATTATTTAAAGAAATAAAAGGTGAAAACATTCAAATTTGATGAAAGACCTATTCCTACAGATCAAGAAGCTAAGTGAACCTGGAAGAAAAAAAAAACTGAAAAGAAATTCACATGAAGACACATTATAATTAAACTCTTGAAAAACAAAGGCGAAGGGAAACTCATGATGTCAGCCAGAACGAGATGACACACTCCCTACTGGGGAACCCAGTTGACACGAAAGCAGACTTCTCATCAGAAGCCAGGAGGCACAAGGGACACTGGGTCTTATCTGGTGCCTCAAGAGAATCACTGCCATCAAGACTTCCATGTCTGGCAGAAGTGTCTTTCAGGATTGAAAAGGAAATAGAAATACTCTAGAAAAAAAGTGCTTGTTGTCAGATTCAGTCCAACCCCCGGCTTAAAGGGAGACAGGAAGAAGCAAGCAGAAACAGGCTCCAGAACAAGGCTGTCACCGAGAAAAGAGGACAGGAAGAGCAAAGCATGGCTGCCACTGTCTCCTTCCTCATAAGCTGGGGCAACCAAATGTTCTTCTACAGGCAACACACAGTGCTCATCTACTGAGTTCACAAGGGCAAGTGTTCTCAACAGAAGTTCTAGGCAGTAATTCTAGCTAGGACTGGGACGACACTCTGCTTTCCAGAAGAACCTTCTGTTAACACAAGGTTGGAGGGCAGCTACCCACAATGCTCACACCTCTGTGTAGTGTGAGGGTTGGCTTGTTGGGGTTTCTGTCCCGCCTGATACCCCACAGCCGGCATTCCAAAGAAAATAAAACAGAGTCTACATTAGGTTATAAACTGATTGGCCCATTGGTTCAGGCTTCTTGTTAACTCTTATAGCTTATATTAACCCATTATTCTGATCTATGTTAGCCATACGGCTTGATACCTTTTTCAGCTGTCAGCTCACATGTTGCTTCTTCGGTGATCTGGGCAGGAATGGCAGAGGGAGCTTCCTGCTGACCAGAATATTCCTGTTCTCATCGCCCTGCCTCTACTTCCTGTCTGGTCGACCCACCTATACTTCGTGCCTGGCCAATCAGCGTTTTAATAAAATACATGATTGACAGAATACAGATAATTCTCCTGCACCACCTCTGCTTCTTCAAAGGAACAAGCCAATTCCCACTGGAAAAAGATACTTAGCTTATCTGCAACTTGGTGTCCCCCATAATGATGCAATTTTTGTGATAGTTTTCCTTTTATAAAAATATTTTAAAATAAAACTGGTCAAAATATGAGTGGCAAAATGTTAACTATTCCAACATCACTAAATTATAAGCCATCTGAGATTACAAATCCTAGCATAAATACAATAATACTATTTAAAAGTCAGACAAAAAGCAAATTGTAGAAAACTGTTCTACCATTTAACAGTTCTGTTTTTCTGTTTTTTGTTTTTTGTTTTTTTTTTTTGAGATAGGGTTTCTCTGTAGCTTTGGAGCTTGTCCTGGAACTAGCTCTTGTAGATCAGGCTGGCCTCGAACTCATAGAGATCTACCTGCCTCTGCCTCCTGAGTGCTGGGATTAAGAGTATGCACCACCACTGCCCACTGCCCAGTCCAGTTAACAGTTCTTGCTGGGAAGTTTTAAGACTACTATATTAGAGAGATGTTTATAGTAAATTAGCTTCCAGAATCATGCAAAATACTCAAAATATTTTTATATATGTTGCCTATATGTAAAAATATCTATTTAAAAAGAACTTGAGCAATCATATTGGACCTGTACCATGGCAGAAAGTCTGTCTGAAACTGTTACCGGGCAGATCCAGTGACATTCGCTGTGTTGGCTTGAATGATAAATGCCCCCATATGGACATCTGGTCCTTAGTCACTGGCACTATTTGGGGAAGTTATGGAACCTTTAGAAGGCGGAGCTTCCCTAGAAGAAGCACACGACTGTAGATAGGCTTTGAGGGTGTAAGCCTCATCTCACTCACTGCACACACACACTCTCTCTCCTTCCATCAGCAGACTCTGTTCCCACTGCCATGCCACCGTGCCATGAGGATGCCATCCCTTTGTAACCATAAACTAAGGCCTTTCTTCCTTAGGCTGCGTTTGCTCATGGTATTTGATCACGGCAATGGCCGAGCATTACGGCCGGCACATGCACCAGCAGCTACATGTACCAGGACGCAGGATGAGGAGAGTGACTGCTTCCGACACTGTCAACAGACCACAGGAAAACACCTCACTGGCTTCCATGCTCTCTCTCCCAGACCTTAAAGGATGAAAAATCAGTTATTACTGGAGCAAATGATTTAATTTTTGCATGGTATCATTCTAAAATGATGAAAATTGATTAAACTCATCCCCTCCTTCAGGGTTTCTTGAATGCAGTGTGCATCACACCTCGGGGAGTTACGTCAAAGCCTGGACACGTTCTGCTGGTGTGGGAAGTGGGCTCAGTGGCAGTAGCTCGTAACCTTAGACAGTCAGGAGGCTGAGGAACGAGGGTTCTGAGTTTCAGATCAGCCTGGGTAACATGGTAAGACCCAATTAGAAAAACAAAAGTATAAAAATAAAATTATACTTTCCTTGTCTAATGGTAAACGTTTCAGTAAGCCTTTATTAAAAAAGAATAAAAGTTCATCTTTGAAGATGAAAGACAAATTAAAGAAAAGGCAGCTGGGTTTACAAAGGGCTCAGAGAAGGAAGAGTGGCAACTGGAGGCCTGTGTGGGCTGGAGCTCAGTGTGCATGACACCATGACGAGCAGCCGCCGCCCAGGTACAGAATGGGTATCTGTGATAAGGAGACGCTAGCCAGGAAATGAAGCACCAGTAGTCTTTATCACCAGCTAGTTCATACAGCAGATCCCTCACCCACGTGGACCTTCTAAAACGTTACAGGAGGAGCGGAACAGGCACTCTCTGAGGAAGGTAAGGCAACCCCTCAAAGCGCGCTGTCTTGGAACTCTAGACAGGAATATCACTTCCAGTCTATACTACTTTCTTGTCCACATTGTTTTCTGCTTCCAATCACTAGCTTAAACAACCCAGACCAAATGCACGCTTGCTCCATGTCACAGCTGCTCCCTGACGAGCACGCCTCACTATCGCTACATGAGCTGTAGCTAGCTGTGTCATGCCTGCTAAACATACTATCATGGCATGCTTCAGCACGAGCACGGTGCACACAGTGTTCACACGCCACACTGGATGAACGGTGAAGTAACTAAAGGAATTAATTCATCAAGGTAACTGCACAACTATAATTTGTCTTAAAGGCATAAAATACAGTTAGAGAAGAGAGGTGCAGAGATGTTAGCTTAAGCGGCTGCACACAACAGTGAACAGGCAGTTCAAACCTTATCATCTCAGAGCACACAGCGACTTAGCAGCAGGGTTTGTGCTGTTAGCAGACATGGGCACCAAGTTGGGGTTCACAGTCTGAGATCAACAAGGACAAGATGAAGGCTGCCAAAGGAAATACTTCCCACAATGGTGACAGACGGGAGTCCCCGGGGACGATGGCATAGCATTACTGCCCACAACCGTAGGAGTCTCACTGCTGGGATCTGCAGTTTGCCTTGAGGCTTCCCATATGTATTGCAAATGGTGGACACTTGAATGAAGGACCTACACTTCTACTATGGATCTGCGTGGGAAAGAACTAGGGACAAGGACGTAAGAAAGCACTATGCGCAACTTGTGAATGAATTCAACTGCACTAAACGTGTGTGTGTGTGAGAGAGAGAGAGAAAGAGAGAAAGGAGAGACAGAGAGCTCAACATGGGGATAGGTACTGGTGAAGGATGGCAGTGTGGGACTCTTGGAGCTGCAGTTGTAAGGCCGAGCAAGCAGCCTTGCATAATGCTGGGAACTGAACTTGCGCCCCTGCAAGAGTGCATCAAGTTTTCATGCAGGGCCATGTGATACTATCTATGCCAGGGTCGTGGGCAGCTTTGGAAAGAGGTGAAAGCAGATTCAGCAGGCAAACAAAAAGTTTTGCTGGGAGTTAGAGATCCTAACAAAAATATTGTCGGCAATGACGAGATTCCAGTGATTTTCCTGGCTTTCACCAGCCCTTGATCTAAGTGATTACCAAGACTATGTTGTCCCCACACTGATGGCAAACCAATGCAGGGAGCTCTTGTATTGGCAGTCCTCTAATGGCTTCTCACTAGAGTCAGAAGAGAACACTCTGCCTCCTCCCACCCCCTTTCTGTCCCATACCCTTTCTATTTTGGGGAAGCCTGGTTTGTCCGTGATTGCTGCCCTGACCACACCCCATTTCACTCTAGTTTGCCAGCCGCCCTTGGCCAGCCAGACCCACTCCTCCTTGGTAGTCCACAGGTAGGGAGTTGGAAAGGTTCTCTTGACACATGTTCACACATCTAGACTTTATGTCACACAGATGTTTGCTCACGAAACAATTTTCTTAGTTTTTTGAGAGACAAGATATGTCTATTAGTTTGATGGTGGTGATAGTTTCAAGGGTTTCTTATACTCAGGTGAAAACAAACTAGTATAAACGTTAAACAGATGGTCTTTATTATATGTCCTTATTCCTAAGAACCTGTTTCCTTCCATGATTCTCTTAGATCTCCTCAACCTTGTATGAGTAATGGAGTTTGGATGCTCGGCTACCTCCCTTTCAGGCGAGCTGTTGTATTTCTTGTTCTACTGGACAGCCAACCATGAGGTGTACTGAATGGTGTCCAGCTCATTACCAGTGTTTTGAAGACAGAAGTCTTCAGAGTCCCGGCCGGTGGCTACTCAATTTGGCAGACCCATGAGTAAGATTGGGTCAGTCCTGAGCTAAGGTCCTGCTTCTAAGGTCCAGGGCACCACTGCCCTGGCAGTTAAGATCAGGAAAGAGAAACAGCATGCATATTGAGAACTATGGTGTGCCCTACAAAAAGTTCAAGTGTGGCTAGATTTGCTACCACCATATCTAGTTCTTTATTTTTAATGAGCTGGTAGCAGCGCAATGACCAGATATTTTCTTCTCTCTGGGAAGACATCTCACTAAAATGTTAGTTTCTTTATATGTGGAAGGATTAATTTTTGAAGAGTGAAAGCAGGAAAAAGCCCTTTTCAATTTGTTGTTATAGTCTAGATAGCTAGAAGTCTGGACAATTCATTAGGATGGGAACATTAACTGTACCTCCATTGAGTTGAGCCTGGATCACTATTAGCTATGTACTTCTGAGCTGTCTCAATGCCTTCTTTCCCTGTTAACTAACATGAGACATTTCCAAGTATTACTATGTTTTGGTTCCTTTCTTCCTTTCCTTCCTATTAGATGTAGAGTTGTCCTACTCTCAATTATACTTGTATTTCTATCACTAACTAAAAAATAAAAAGGATACTTAAAGTTTCTTCATTTCTTTCTTCTACACCACCCTCTCCTTCTTCTGTAGTACTGGGAATTGAAGTTTTGCCTCTGGGTCTCTTTTTACTTTTGATTTCGAGATAGACCGTGACCTTGCTCTGTGGTCCAGGCTTGTCTTGCTTGGCTGTCTCATCCTTCTGTCTCAGCATCCTGAGCAGTTCGGATCATGGACTTGTGTTGCTAAGGCTGGCAGGAGCATTAACTTCTGATTTTAGGAAGGACACCTGGCTTTGAAAATGAGAAACTATAAAGAAAATCATGAATCACAGGTAACAGTTTAGATTAAAACTTCATATAAAGGTGGTCTTAATATTGACCAGAAACAGATCCACATATTCAGCAAATAATAGAGGAAATGGGAAAAAAGAAAGCTATACATTGAAAGAATGGAACATCTTAAAGATTTCTTGGAAGTTAAAAACTAAGGGAAATCAGGATGGTGATCAAGAAGAAATATCAAGACAATGATGCAGACAGTCAATCAGTAGGAAAACATGATGACATCAGGAAGCGTGGTCTATGGTGGCTTACTGCAGGTTTGCCCATTCCCCAAAGCTCCGTATACATAGAAACTCAGCCAAATGAACTCAGGAGCCAAGCTGACTAAGACTGAGTATTCAGAATCCAGGGGCAGAGAGGACAGAGGGTGCAGCCTGGCCCATATCACATTGGCCTTACTTATTCCTGCCTATTGCCTTGTGAGAATCCCAACTGCTTACAAATGACTGGGGCCAGTGAATATTTCCTGCTCGGCTCGATTCAAATGTCCATAGCATTAAAGAGAATAAAAATCTGGGTAAGTTTGGATGCTTCGAGCCACCTGGGAATCCCAGTTGCTATGTGTTCTTAACAAAGAGGTGACAGGGACTCTTGGGCACCGAGCTGCTACTGGAGGGAGGAGGGAAGATTATTACTCCTTTTTTTTTTCATTGCAGCCCTTAATATGTGCCATTTCAGACTCAAGAATGGGGGGCTGGATGTGAAAATATTAAAATTGGTATTGTGCTAGCAAATTTCAGTATAGACAATCAATTCAGGCCCAGCAAAGGCAGTGGTAAAAGGTCAAAACAAAATCATTAAAGAAGTTTCTAAAGCTTCTAGAAGCCTCATTAAAACCATATCCTGCTAAAACTATGAAAGCCCTTGAGAGTCAGGTGAGAGAGCAGGAAGTCCGCGCTCAGAGTATTCCCATTAGCAAAAAAATGGGAGATTGCCCTGGGTTCTGAGAGCTGATTCCAAAGCTTCTTAATACACAGAAAAGAGAAAGAATTAAGCACTCCAAGACACTCTCATGAAAATGGAGCCAATGCTGCCATGATGTTTTATACAGGGTCCAAAGCAAACGGAATCTCTGTAACTGTGAGTGAAGGGTTATGATCTCACACAAGATCTCAAAGCCTGCTTCTTCCCTGGTTGAGCACCAAACGGCATTTCCCTCTGAGCTGGTGCTGGTTACGCCCCAGCGAGAAACCTGAGTGAAGCTCACAGTTTTAAGGGGCTCTAATCTCTAAATAAATAGCAGAAAAAAAGAAAACCATTGTCACTACCCACTGAGTTCCACCTTCTTGGCTATTTTAAACAATGTGAACACAGAGAAGGAACATACAGATGAGTCAATGGAACCACTGTTGACTTGTTCTATGCTGCCATGTAAAGAGATTTCTGTAATTTAGGAAGAGGGGGTTGGAATACATGCTGTGCATGTATGTGGTCATCAGTCTCAAGTACTGCTTGGGTGCCACAGCATCCTGAAGCTGTACATTGTTGGGACTAATGAGTCCTGGCCTTCAGTTGCTCTTCCTTGTCTTGAGCCTTCTAATGGAAGTAACTAAAAGCTGTGCTTTGCCTAGAGGATCAGAGGATGGAATTTTCACCTGTTGGCCATTGACTGCAGTGTATTTAAGCCTCCATGGTGCTATTAAAAGGGGCTTTTTGGTACCGGTGATTGAAGGTCTGTTTGTCAGTCTGTCTCTGCGTGAGTATTCTCAACCTCCAGCCCCTTTTCCGGAGCTCGCGAACTGGGGTCTAGCGCATAGAGCACAGACTGGGGCCCGCAGTGTGCGGCAGTACATCTATGAGGTCATCAACCATGAGCACTACTTGGGTACCACAGCATCCTGAAGATGACTCTGGGCATCTTTTCCTAGGTTGCTATTTTGTGGAGTATCTATGAAGCTGTGGTTAGTATTTCTTGTTCAACTTACACTATAAGACTAGTTCGTTTTTTTTGCTCAGATGGCCTTCAATTGTTCTTGGGATAAAAATATTAGCCATAACCATGGGCAGTTCAGTCTTTCTCATTTTTGGGATACGGAGTAATAATATTCTAATTTTCTGAGGGAGAATTCAATGGGCTATGCCAAAGACATCAAGTATGCCTCTCCTTCCTGAATAGGGCTGTGCATCCGAGTGCATGGCTTGTGTTAGCCCTGTTTCAGGCTACAATAACAGATGTCCAAGAACAGTCACGTGATGTTTTCAATGAGAGGGGTAAAAACACAGCTATCTATAGCTGAGGTCATGATCTCTTATAAAACATAAT